TTTTTTTTGTAAGGGCGATGGCCTTGAGGTTTATCGTCGGACTAACCAGCCCAGGTAAATTCAATCTTGTGTCTAATCTGACACCGGGTGGCCTTTTCAGCCCAGGGTGGCCTGATAGCCTTAGGGTGGCCTGATAGCCTTCAGGGAACCCCCTACCGAGGGACACCGGCCAGGGGACAGCCGGTAGCAGAGGGACCGAGCATCATCTGAGTGGCCAGTCGCTGTGCCTCCCTGAGTACCCCTCCCCCTATGAACATCAGCAGAGACTGCTTTTTTAATGCCACTTGGGGGGACCAACGGTATATCTCTAGGTGGCGGGCGCCAAGCTTGCCCAGGAAGGTACATGAGGCCAATTGGGATTGAACCCAAGACCTCCTGAATGCCACTTGCGTGCCTTACCAACTGAGCTAGGCCGCTGGATCGACCCGCCAAAATTCCATGCTCCACAGCTTTTTTTTTCTTTTTTTTTTTTTTTTTGAACCGACGCCGTAGTGATTGTGCTCTATGTGCTCGACTCCACTGCGCTGTGGAGGTACCTTGTCCAAAAACGAGTTGGGATGCACTCTTATTCTGTGTTCCGTGCTGGACTCCACAGCGCAGTGGATGTATCTGGTCCTGAAACTAGTTCGGATGCGTGTCGGACCTGCCCACGGTCATTTGCAGATGCATCCACGGTCGCCCATAAAAATAAAAAAATAAAAAAATGCAGTTCCCTCCTGCTCTCTGCGGTGGGCGAAGTCACTTGGTGGGATCGTCAACAAATGCCCTGTGGTGTCTGCCTTTTCCTTCGCACGGCCCAAAACGTCCTTATTGCTGACCCTTTTTTTTCCCTCCCCCTTGCCCCACAAAATGCCTCCTCGCTCCTTGCGCATCACCCCTCCACCCTTGGCTGCGCAATATCAATGGGTAGTGTGCGTATATGCCTAATCGTCGATCAGTCCACCAACTGGGCTATCAGCCGGGCCACTCGGGTCACCTTATTTGACTGGTCGGCCCGGCCGTGCAACGGCCAGGGAAAGTCCCAGCAATAAAATAAAATAAAACAACATAAAATCCAAAAAGTGCGGAAAAGAAATACTTTATTTGCGATTTTGATGCCTACCGGTAGTTCATGATTACGCCCTAATCGTCGATCAATCCACCACTGGAGCATCGTCGACCAATTAGTAATTAGTCATCGATCTATTCATCAATCAACTAAGGGCCTGGCCACACGGCACACGAAACGAAAACGAAACGAGTGCATCTGCCGACGAAAGGTGGCAAAATACAATCGTTATTATTTATAGCAAAGCTACGAACCTGGCCATTTTCTGCCGGAAGATGCACTCGTTTCGTTTTCCGTTTCGTGTGCCGTGCGGCGACGCCCTAAATCGTCGATCGAACAAACAATTAATAACTGATCGTCCTCTCGATCAAACAAAATAATACCGATGGGTCCTTCCGGACATCCGTTAAAATTAGAACGACACAGAGAAAGAAGATTAATTAGCATGGCCCCTGCGCAAGGATGACACGCATAAGTCGAAAAATAATACCGATGGGGAAGAAATCGGTTCTTCCACTGTTCGATTAACAAAAATCAGGAAAGAAAAAATATACTACTGATGACTAATTTTTTTTATTTATTTATTTGTTAAATTATTTATTCATTTTTTACTTATTACCTGCCAATCATCAATGATTAATCAAACAGTCCATCTATCAATGGATAGATTAACTCGCACTTAACAGTAGGCGGACCAGATCGCTTGAGGGCATACTCCCACTAGAACCTTTTTCAACTTCTCTGTGGACGTAATTGAGGTCGGATGCATCCTGGCGGGGCCGTCAGAGCGTTCGGATACATCCAGGAAAGTCCGCGTGTGAGTATGCCATGAGTATTACTTCACTTAGAATTTGAAAAAAACGTTTTTCAACTTCTCTGTAGACGTTTTTCAACTTCTCTGTAGACGTAAATTGAGGTCGGATGCATCCTGGGGGGCCTGTAAGAGCGTTCAGATACATACAGGAAAGTCGGCGAGCGAGTATGCCATGAATATTACTTTACTTAGAATTTTGAAAAACTAAAAGTCAAACAAAACACCAGAGAAAAAGAGAGGCAGTTTCCCCCAAAAAAAAACACAAAAAATCGGACAAATGAAGTTTACATTGAAGTCGAAGAAAGAACGGAGCAAAGATGTTTTACGCCCACCCACAACCCCCCCCCAAAAAAAAGAAAACGAAAAGAAAAGAACGGCTCGGATCAAAATGTCAAATATTAAGGGGGAAAAAAAAAAAAAAATAGAAAAAAAAAAAAGTCAGTGGATCGTAAGACACAGAAATTAATTAATTGGGATACATAGCCACCATGTGGTACGGGAAACCACGAAAAAAAGCGGATCAAAATTTGGGAAAAAAAACAAAACAAACTTGAAAACAAATAACTAATAAAGATTAAAAAAAAGGAACGGATCATTTTTTTTCCAAAAGAAAAAAACACCATAAAAAGAAGTTTAAAGAACGGATCAAAATTTTGACGTCTCTGGCGCCACCTGCCCACCGCTGCGGATTTTGCTTGTCATACTCAGGCGATGAACAAGCTCATGGATGGTCGGGATCTCCCTTCTATTCACCAGATTAGATCGGGCGAATCTCAACGCTCGAAGCTCGCATCCTGCGCGGATTTCGACGTCGTCGATGCATTCAAAATCTTCAACGTGGGCGATCCCGACGATCCGACGGATCATCTCGACCCCCGCGAACCCCACGCTATCTTCTAGAAGCTCCCTCAAGAACTCATCCTGCGCTATCGCCAAAGTAGTATCACCATCTTCTACCCCACAGTAAACCGGCAGAGGGTAAGCATCACCTCCTCCTCCTCCTCCTTCTCCTCCTCCTCTTTCTCCTCCTCCTCTTCCTAGTTTTATTCCCCCTCCTTGGGCTGCTTTCTCTGTTGGACAGGAAGAAACGGAGGGCGACGAGTGTTCAGCCCACAGTAGTCGGAGTTTATGGGCAAAAATCGTCCAGGTGCATTCAATCAATCTTACCAACCACTGCTTGTAGCTATGACGTCGATCCGCACTCACGCGGCGGCCATCATCAACCTCGCTCATCTCTGCGCTGATCTCGGTGTTCGATCCCTCGTCTCTTGACGATGGCGATGAAGATAATGCATTGCCGCCGTCGTCGACAGACGACGGATCACAATCCGGTGACACCGACGATGGCGATGGCGATGACGACGGCGACAGCGGAAGTCCGTCTTGGCTGAAGAAGGAGAGCATAACGTTGGCTATATAACAGCCCAGATCGAATGCCATAGGCCCCACGAAAGCAAACTCAGCATCGATCACTTGAGTGGATGTCTGTGTGACCATGATCGATCCTGAGTGCAGATCTCCATGAATGAGTGCTTGCGCTCGTTCGCAGAACTTGGCCTTCATCTGTGCCGCCGCCACCTTCAGTCTGCTGTCCTTTCGCAAATCCATGACCTCGTTGTCCAGCTGCGGCGTGGTCCACCGGTTGTTCCTGGACAGGACGTATGGTTCGGTGAAAACCACCTGCTCGGTCACCATCCGCATCTGGACGTTTTCACAGAACTCCGCCGTCAGCTGCCGATGAGCTGACGTGTCACACGACAGCAGGGAGGTGAAGAAGAGCGCCTTCGACAGAACATCCGCCACGTGTTCCGCTAGCAACGGATACTCCTCCGCCTTGATGAAACCTTTGCGCAAGATGACGTGCGGCGGCGCGCAGTACCCCTCCACCAGGAGGGCCATCGACCGATCATCCTTGTAGATCGTGGGCACGTACTGAGGACAAAAGCGCGCGAACTGTTTGAGAGCGGCAGCCTCGAAGTGCGTTCTCTCCAGACCTAGCGGCCAGGACTCTCCGATGCAGCGAATGTACGGCAGAGCTTGTTTCAACACCAGGCAGCTCGATGGACCCTTGAGAATGAACACAAAATTAATGTTGCCGTCACCCACCTCGCTAATCTCCCATCCCGACGGATCTCCACCGAGGATCGCCCGGAGATTGGCATCCCGCGCCACGTACGCCAGAGCTCCAGATTCATTCAAGGGATAGAACAGATCTGCGGAGGCCTTGGGGATGGAACAGGCCCGGTACTCGCCTTCTTTTAGGGACCGAGAATAATCCCATGGCTCTTCTACCAGCTCGGCATTTTCCATGGCTTCAATCGCGGCCAGCTTTTTCAGGTCCCGACCACCTTTTGCCGTCTGCTCTCCCACTTTTCTGTTCTGTCTTCTCCCCGGGTCTTTTTCTTCAGACCTGGAGTCTCTGCCAGCCTTGGCAGCTCCCGGAATATAACCTACTAGCTGTTAGATCTGTGTGGTGTGCCCTGACGAACATAGAACCTGGTTTTGAGAGCGAAACTAAGTTTGCAGACGTAGACTGAAAACCCGCCAGGCACCTAAGACAGTGGCTGGCTATATCTACCCTGGGAACCCCTCGACTCACATTCTCCCTCCAGCGGCGCTGTGAACTCCGCAGCGGCAGAGGCAGCAGCACCGGCAGCAAGAGACGTAGCGGTACGCGGAAAAACTCTCTACCCCCTCGCCACACGCTAGTCTCTCTCTCTCTCTCTCTCTCTCTCTCTCTCTCTCTCTCTCTCTCTCTCTCTGTCTGTCTGTGTGCA